CTCGCACAGCCGCAAGCTGCACTCCACTGGCGACTCAAACGGGCACTCCGCACATGATGGCCGATGGCGAAGCTGGCTGGTCTGCCAGAACAGAACGGCCCCGCGGCGACTCCCAGAACGGGGAACGGCCGACGATCGCGGGCGGCCCAGCCCTGCACCACCTCCGCGCGCAGACGGCACAATCTGCACGAGGCGCGCAGCCCCATGCACACCCCGCACGGAGAGAGGAGGACAGAGGAGGGAGAAGAACCGGAGGGGGAGGAGAAGGAGGGATCTGTCTGCCAGATGCGGCACTAGATAGAAATCGCACATGCCGAGCGCCCAGGGCGCCCGCCCGGCACTCTGGTTCACGAGCGGCATCTGTCAACCATTCGGCCCCAGCCCCGTGGCCACGGGCAGGCCGGCAGGGCAGCATCACCCCCAGAAGGGCCGCAAGCCCACTGGGGGGACAGGGAACCGCCCCCCAGAAGAGCGGGAGAGAAGAACAAAAGAAAGAGAGCGAGTAACCGAGCCGAGATCGAGAGAGAGAGAGAGGGAGCGAGCGAGCAGACCAACGGAGGATCAGCGAGGGCGAGAGCGGAGCGGAGCGGCACCTTGCCACCCCAGGGGCGCGCGGCCCAGCCATGGCGGGATTCCCTCGAAGAGGACTGCCCCCCTCGACGAGGCATCCCAGCGGGCTTCGCCACGTGCGATTTCATCCCATCGGCTACGCGGCTGGGACAACACCCAGAGGGCAACGCGCACGCACAGAGTCCGCGACATTCGAGGGGGGGCAGGATTTGCCCGCCCCCCCTGCCCGAGTCCAGGGCCGCAGCGGGGCCGCCGAAAGGGCCAAATTTTCTACCCCTCCAGTTCGCCGCGACCCGCGCCTCTAACGCGGCGCGGCAGCCAAAGGGAAGGACGAGGGAGTCAAAAAAAAGGGGGAGAAGACGGGGGAAAAAAGGAAGAACAGGCTCCGACGCTAAAGGAAGCTGCAGCAGCCCCACGGGCCATCCGCGCCGCCCAAGCGACACCGGCAAACAAAGATCAATAATACGAAACAAAACTGCGAAACAGATACAGCAATCGCCGCGCCCCCTCAGCGCGGTCCCTCTCACGCGCTGCCGCGTCTCCCGATAACGGCGCCCAGCAGCCCTCGTCGTCAGCTCCGAGCACCACCCCCGGCGGCCCCCCCGCAAGCACTCCGCGAAAGCCCCCTCGATATCCGCCACCCGCAAATCGCCGCGGCGCCGGTGGTTGCACCACCGGTACAGCGCGCAAACGCCGATGGTCCGGTCTCGGACTCTCGACTCTCGACTGCACCGCCGCGGAGTCGGCGCCCCCCCCGCCCGGCAGCCAGCAGCGGCCCAGCGCCTGCCCCCGCGGAGCCGGCTCGACCGACAAGAAGCGATCGAACAGGTGCCTCTGGACCGGGCAACTGGCTAGGCGCTCGACGCTGTCCAGGCGCCCTCCACAGCCGAGGCGGCAGGGCGAACGCCCCTGGAAGCGCCAGCTGGTGCACCATCCACTCAGTTGCCGCCGGATGCACGCCGCCAAGACGCGCGGCTGGCACCGCGCGGCCACCGCGGCCAGCGCGGTCCGAGCCCGCCCGAGGCGCCGCTCCGGAAGCAGCTGCAGCGGCCATGTGTCCAGCTCCCGCCACCAATGTCGCAGCGCCTCCCCGCCGTGCGCCGGCGCGATGAGAAGAGACCTTGTTCTGCCAACGCGCGCGCTCTACCCGCCATTCAGGCCGCGGGCGAAGTGCTCTCCTGGCAGCGCTCACCACGTCGCCCACCTGGGCGATTGGCACCAAGAATGCCCCGTCGCGCCAGTCACGCAACCAAGCCAGTCTGTCGAGGGAGGTGGACGCTGGCACGGCACAGCGAAAGACTGCAAAGCGCGGGCCCGCACGCGGAAGCAGAGCTCGCCGAAGCCCCCCACCTGGCCACCCAGGCCCTGGCCGCGATGACTGTTCGCGCCACGTCCTTCAAGGCGATGGGAAAAATATAGCTTCGTCAACTCCTTCAGGCAACCAGAGCTCATCCAGTCGGAGGGACCTGGTATCAGCGCTGAACACACCCGCTTCTCCCAGTCGGTCCCGTCTTCTGACAAGGCCTCGAACTGCCCCACGAAGATCAACACCGAAGCTACGTGTAGTCTGCCAACATGGAGCGAAAGCTGCAAGCCCTGCGCCAAGCCGGCCCCATAATTGAGCTCGCGCCAAAAAATTGTCCAAAGGTGCCTTCCATGAAAGCTCCTTCATTCCTGGCCACACGTAGACGCCCAAATATGTGGCGGCCACGGCAACCTCCACTCCGTCCCAGCCTGGGGCCGCGCGAGTCAAGTCGGAGCGCGTCGCTGGCAGATCCTGCGGGCCCAACGGCGCCAGCACCGTCTTCGGCACGTTCAGAGCCAAGCCAGAGACACGAGCAAACTGGTCGAAGAAGGCCTGATGGCCCCCCACGCATTGGACGCCTTCGGGTAGCACCATCGCTAGGTCATCTGCCCATGCTCACAGCGTGGCGCGAGGGAAACTCCGGTTCAACCTGCGGAGGTCGAAATCCGACGTCGCCGCGAAGAGCAAAAGTGATAACGGGCAGCCCTGCCTGATGCCCCGGGAGAAACCGAAACCTTCCAGTTGGCCGCCTCCGACGCTGACGAAGCAGTAATTGTCCCAGTACAGACTGCGAACGAAGCCGCATAGCCAGGCGGGCCATCCAAGCGACTGGAAGAACTGCTGGAAGAATCCATGTTCAATCGAAAGGAAGGGCGCCGCGAAATCAAAGAAAATCGCGTAGGCCTCCTCCGCTTCAGCCGCTGGCAATATCATTCCCTCGTCTACGTCCAGCAGGTTGGAGGCCATGGGACGACCCGCGAGGAAGCCCTTCTGATCCTGCGTGATTAGCGGCGCCAACGCTGGTTCGAAGGCAATCCTCGCAGCGCTTGCCAGGGGCCTGCTGTGCGTGTACGTGGTGTTGAGAGGGCGGACGCCCCCGGGCAGAAGTACTCCTCTCCGTTTGCCGTGTTGCCAGCCGCCTTCTTGGGCAGGAATATCAAGAGACTCTCGGTGAAGGTCGGCATGTGGCGCTGGAGAAGCTCCTCCGCGTCCTCGCCGCTCAGCTCGACGAGAGCCTCGTGGAGCACGTCCACCGCGAGTTCCCAAAATCGTTTCCAAGCGCGATATGGAACGCCATCCGGCCCAGAAGCGCTGCTGCCAGTCGCGGCGATCGGCTTCCAAACGCGCCGATTCGTGACCCGCAAGTTGCGCAGCGCACCGTGCGAAGGCACGTCTGGCGCGCGCTCAAGGGCAGGCGTCTCCCCGCAAGCCCCGTCCTCCTCCAACCACGTCTGCAGAAGCTGCTCGTCCACCTCTCTGGCCCGAAATACGTCGCCCCAGTGGGACCGAAGGTGGCTGCCATATCGTCGGCCTCGGTGGCAAATTCGCCATTGCTCTTCTGGGCGGCCTTGACTGCCCCCACTGCGGCCCGGCATCAACTCACAGAGTATGTGGCTATACGTTTTGTTTAGCTCGGGACGCCCGTTCGGCGTCGTCCCCCAGGCCGCTGCAGTCGCCTTGCCGAGCTCGTCGAGCGCGTGCTGGCGGGCGAAGTCGAGTGCATGGTCGCGGAAACGACGTAACCGGGCAGATATATGTGGATCTAGTGTCTGGTTGAAAATAATTATGTGAAAAATAGTTTCTGACAGCTGTGTTAAGTAATCTAGTTGATGTGTATATATATATATAAATATACATACATATACATACATGTCTAAATATACGCATACGTAACTATCATAAGCACCACACAACTAACAACTAAAGCTTATCTATAGCATATCTTTTTTCGGATAGATTCGGGCGAGCCTCCAAGCAGGAGCCAGGAACCGGGAACCTAGAGCCGGGAACCGGGAACTGGCAGAACGGGGAGCTGGGAACCTGGAACCTAGAACTGGGAACCGGGAACCAGGAGTCGGGAGCCAGGAACGCCGGTTCCAGGAATCGGGAACCCGGAGCAGGGAACCGCGTGAACTGGGAACCACGCGAACCATAAACCCGGAAATCGCATGAACCTGGGAACAGCGTGAACCCAGGAACCAGGAACTGGGAAACGGGAAATAGGGGAACCGAGAACTGAGTCGGGAGCCGGGAACGGGGATCTGGAAACCAGAAACCGGGAACCAGGAACAAGGAACAAGGCACCAATAACTGGGAACCGGGAATCGAGAACTGGGAACGAGGAACCGAGTCAGTCGAGAGCCGAGAACCAGGAATCGGGAGCGGGGAACCTGGAACCGGGAACCGAGAACTGCGAACCAGGAGCCCGTAACAGGGAGCTGGAACTGGGAACCCGGAACCAGTGACTGGGAACCAGGAACCAGAAACTCGGCGACTAAAGGCCTTCTCTAGGTCAATGGTAGTGGTATTGGTATTTTTCCCTCCTCCGATAACATGCAACACCGATCTCCGAAAAGCACGATAGCCCCGTGAAGGGATTTCCCTGCGAAGGCCCCTTCTGCGCACGATGTCCCCCCGCGAGGCCGTCGCCGGTGCACGCCCCTGCCGGTGGGGGATGTCGCGCTCCTCCTGGAGGACCCTGCGCGCCAACAACCCGGGTCAATGCGCGCCCCTGGCTCTGCAGGATCCTGGAAGACCCAGCGCTCTGGCTGACCCCCTGCTTGCATGGACCCCCGGCTCTCACAGCTCCGAGGAGGTATCTTCCAACACGAGAGGAGGAGAGGAGGAGAGGAGGAGAGGAGGAGGAGGAGGAGGAGGATAGGAGGAGGAGGAGGAGGAGGAGGAGGAGGAGGATAGGAGAAGGAGGAGGAGGAGGAGGGAGGATAGGAGGAGGAGGAGGAGGAGGAGGAGGATAGGAGGAGGAGGAGAGAGGAGGAGGAGGAGGAGGAGGAGGAAGGAGGAGGAGGAGGAGGAGGAGGAGGATAGGAGGAGGAGGAGGTTAGGAGGCGGCGCCACGTCGCACGCTACCACTGCACCGCCAGCCGCACCCCCCGCCCCCGAGCACCTGCGCCTCCGCAAGCTGCCGCGCGGCGCCCCCGGCAGGCTGCGGGGCGCCGGGGCCGCCCTCGAGGCTCGCCTGCCCCACGAGGCCCGGCGCGGCCGCGCCCAGGCCCGGCTCCAGGAAGAGCGGGCCGTGCTTCACGTCCTCGCGCAGGGGGGGGGGTCGGCGGCGAGCGAGGGGGGAGCGTGACAAAGGAGAAGGCCCTCTCGGAGGGCGGCGGGGCTTCTCAGAAGCCCTCCGGCCTTCTGAGAGCTTCTCTGTGTCTTCGAGGGCGGCCCAGAAAACTTCTGAGGAGGCCGTGGGGACGACCGAGCCTTCTGAGAAGGCCGGCCCCCGGGCTCGCCGCCGAGGGGAGAGGAAGAATCAGCCATGGGACTAGGGGAACAATGTCCACCAGAGAAAGCCCAAATCAGTGGATTATATTTCTTCGCAAGTGCCTCAATGGGCCTCCCTCCCGCCCTGTCGAATATACGTTCGAGTCCAGTCAAGATAATATGTGTTCCTCTATGTATGTGTTTGTCTCTCTCTCTCTCTCTCTCGTTCTCTCTCTCTGTCTCTCTCTCTCTCTCTCTCTCTCTCTCTCTGTAGCCCCCACCCCCTGGCACCCATTATTTAAAGCATTCATTTACGACGGTAGTGTTCTTCCTTTCCTCCTCCTCCTCCTTCTCCTCCTCCTCGTCCGTGTCGTTATTTTTTTCTCTCTCTCTCTCTATCTTTATGATGTTGATTCTCTCTCTCTCTCTCTCTTTCGTCTGTTTTCTTTCCTCCAAAAATCTACTTGAAAACACAGGGCTTCCGCACACCTGACATCGCAAACCTTGTGCTTCCATTGGGATGTTGGGGATTTCTGGGATAAGCAGAGAGGAAGTCATGTTTGTGCATTGGGTTTGTTTGGATGTTTGGGATTCTGGGGGTCGGACCTCCTGGGAGGATTCCTGGGTTTGATTTTCGCTGGGGGGATGCCAAAAATCAAACGAATACCGAGAAAAACAAATATCTGACTCCCTCACTTCACATTCCAGAAATCCAGAAAATCCCAATGAAAACAAAAAAAAACCGCACCCCTGACATGGCAAACCGTGTGTGTTCACAGGGATTGTGTCGGGTGTCTGGGAGAGAGAGAGAGAGAGAGAGTGCGAGAGAAAGAAAGAAAGAAAAAGAGAAATAGATAGAGAAAGAAAGAAAGAGAAAGAGAGACAGAGAGGCAGATTCCAGATACCGCTGATTACAATGATATTGCTATTGGAACACAATTGACGTCGAATTGGGGTGGAGCGGATCCTAGACGCAGCTGATTCCAATTTGGATTTCTATTGGATCCAATTTGGATTCCTATTTGGAAATTGAGCCGATCCCAGATCCAGTTGCTTCCCGTTGGATTCCGATTGGGATATGTGTATTGTTATTAGAATTGAGCAGGTCCCAAGCCCAGCGGATTCCAGCTGGATTCCTGTCAGAGTCTCTAACTGGCATGGAGCAAATCACAGATCCAGCTGGTTCTAATGTGATCCCTAGAGAATTGTTAATTGGAACCGGAATTGTGCACATCCCAGATCCAGATGAGTCAAATGTGGTTCCTACTGGAATTGCATTAGAATCGAATTGGAATGGAGCAGATGCCAGATACAGCTGTTGCCAAGTGTATTCCTAGTGGAATACATGTAAACTCTAATTCGAATGCGGCAGATCTCAGATCCAGCTGGCTCGAAGTGGATTCCGATTGGGATCTAACTAGACTCTAATTGGAACTGACCAGATCCCAGATCCAGCTGATTCCAAGTAGATCCCTATTGGGAGTTCATTAGAATCGAATTGGGGTGGAGCGGATCCCAGGTCCAGCTGATTCCAATTGCCTACCTAGGCTCTGCCTAGAAGGGTTCTTACTCTCTTAGCTTAAAGGGGCCGGGCAGTGTAATACGCCAAGGGCGGTTCCCCCAGGATCCGCCCCGCGGTTCCCCCAGTCCCCTGGGAGCTTTAGCTTTAGCTTTAGCTTTAGCTTTAGCTTTAGCTTTAGCTTTAGCTTTAGCTTTAGCTTAGCTTTAGCTTAGGTTTAGCTTAGCTTTAGCTTTAGCTTTAGTTTAGCGTTAGCTTAGCTTTAGCTTAGCTTTAGCTTAGCTGTAGCTCAGCTTTAGCTTCCATTTAGCTTAGCGTTAGCTTAGTTTTAGCTTAGCTGTAGTTTAGATGTAGCTTAGTGTTAGCTCAGTGTTACCTTAGCTTTAGCTTAGCTTTAGCTTAGCTGTACCTTAGCGTTACCTTAGTTTTAGCTTAGCTTTAGCTTAGCTTCAGCTTAGCTTTAGCTTAGCTTTAGCTTAGCTCTACCTTAGCTTTAGCTTAGATTTACCTTAGCGTTAGCTTAGTGTTAGCTTAGTTCTAGCTTAGCTTTAGCTTAGCTTTAGTTTAGCTTTGGCTTAGCTTTAGCTTAGCTTTAGCTTAGCTTTAGCTTAGCTTTAGCTTAGCTGTAGCTTAGCTTTAGCTTAGCTTTAGCTTAGCTATAGCTTAGCATTAGCTTAGCTGTAGCTTAGATGTAGCTTAGTTTTAGCTCAGTGCTAGCTTAGCTTTAGCTTAGCTTTAACTTAGCTGTACCTTAGCGTTAGCTTAGCCATAGCTTAGCTTTAGTTTAGCTTTAGTTTAGCTTTAGTTTAGCTTGAATTTAGCTTTAGCTTAGCGTTAGCTTAGCTTTAGCTTAGCTTCAGCTTAGCTGTGGCTTAGCTTTAGCTTAGGTTTAGCTTAGCTTTAGCTTAGCGTTAGCGTAGTTTTCGCTTAGATTTAGCTTAGCTGTGACTTAGCTTTAGCTTAGCTTTAGCTTAGCTTCAGCTTAGCTTCAGCTTATATGTAGCTTAGCTTTAGCTTAGCTTGAGCTTAGATTTAGCTTAGCTTTAGCTTAGCTTTAGCGTAGCTTTAGCTTAGTCTTAGCTTAGATTTCGCATAGTTTTAGCTTAGCAGTAGCTGAGCGTTAGTTCAGCTTTAGCTTAGCTTTAGCTTATCTTTAGCTTAGCTTTAGCTTAGCTTTAGCTTAGCTTCAGCTTAGCTTTAGCTTAGATTTGGCTTAGCTTTACTGTTACTACTAATGCTGCTTTCCTAGGGGCTCCAACTCCTAGGTAGGGTCGCACTGGGATAATTTGACTCCTATAAAAATCCCATTGGGATCTAACTAGGATTGCGCAGATCCCAGATCCAGCTGATTCCAATTACGTCCCAGCACGATAAAACAGCGGAGGCATGATGAACAAGAAACACGGATGAGCAGGCACGGATGAAAAGAAGGCAGATTACCAGTAAGAGTACGAATGGAGAGCTCCAAGACCGATGCAAAATGAATGTTTGCTGGGGGAGACTGCGGATATATATATATATATATGCAAGCATACATGTATGTAGTTGTGTGCATGCATGCATGCAGGCACGCATACATGTTTGTATGTGTGGATGTGTGTATGTATGCATGTGTGTTGTGTGTGTACGTATGTATGTACGTACGTATGCATGTACGAACGTACGTACGTACGTATGTGCGTGTTTATGTATATATGTCGTGTATGATATATATATATATATGTATGTATGTGTATGTATGTGCGTGTGTGTACGTATGGATTGATTATGTATGTGTGAATGTGTACGTAGATATATGTATGTCTGTGTATGTATGTGTCTATGCATGTATCTCTATATATATATGTATGTATATGGATATGTGCATGTATGTGTATGTCTGTATGTATGTATGGATGGATGGATGGATGGATGGATGCGAATCACTCCATATAACTTCTAGTGCATTTACAGATGTACACACATAGATGTATACACATACATGTGCACACGCATCTTTAACAGTCCATGCGCGTTCTCTCACTGTATGTGTTTCTCTCTCTCTCTCTGTCTACTCCGCCTGTCCCATGCTGTATGTATCACAAGTGTTTGGTTATGTCTCTCTCTATCTTTCTCTCTCTCTCTCTCTTTCTCTCTATGTATACCTATACGACCACCCTGCGGTTGATAAGGAGGTTGAGAAAGGGGGGGCACCAATGGGCAAAAGTGGTGATTGTTGTTCTGACGATGCCTGTGGGGCGGAATCTAGTGAGTAGTGTGATTGTGCACGTGAGAGTGATGTGATGTGGCGAAGCTGTGAGCGTGATTGTGCACGTGAGCGTGATGTGATGTCGGTCTGCATGTCGGTTTGATTGCAGACTTGCATTGGGTAGCTCGCCGCAAGCGGCGATGTTTTGAAATGCACAACCCACGGCGGGACACCAGCGGGACTCCGGCGGGACACCGCGGGCCACCGTTTGACGGGAGGAGCATCATTTGGTCCGGCCGCGGCCCAGCCACAGGAGGATTTCGGGACACCAGCGGGACACCGGCGGGACACCGCGCGCCACCCGGCCGCCGGAGGAGAAACATTTGGTCCGGCCGCGGCCCAGCCACATCAGGAATTTCGGGACACCAGCGGGACACCGGCGGGACACCGCGCGCCACCAGCCGCCGGAGGAGAAACATTTGGTCCGGCCGCGGCCCAGCCACAGGAGGATTTCGGGACACCAGCGGGACACCGGCGGGACACCGCGGGCCACCGGCCGCCAGAGGAGAAACATTTGGTCCGGTCGTGGCCCAGCCTCAGGAGGATTTCCTCTCGCCCGCCCACGCAGCTTCGCCTCGCCCGCACGCACGGCACGCACGACACGAACCCGAAACCGAAATCGATTTCCCAGTAGGGAGGGTCTCCGTTTCACGTCGGACTCACCCCCCAACCTACGATATATATATATATATATCAATACAAGACTGCAGTGGCGCTTCGCGCCATGCACCTTGGTCCTTGAAGTTTGGTATGCAGGCGGAATGGCAGGAAGGTCAAGCCGACAATTTAGCGATAACTCCTGGTTGCCTTTTCCGGCATCGCCGCTATCATGATGTTATTCGTTATCCTTCCTCCATGCTTATTGTTCCTTATTTTCGCCATACCCTGCGCATTCCCCCCATCCTCCTCAGCTCTTTTTTGC